GGCGGCAGCGGCAACGACGGCACATGGTTCCAAGAGCGCGCTGCGGTTATTGAGTTCCAGTTCCGCAGGGAGGGACAAAAGCAGCTGCAAGCTCCTGGGTACACCCGACTGGGTGGTTCATTCGTCTCTGCCCTCGATCTGGGCGCTGTGAAACTTGCGACTGACTCCTGCTTGAGGAGAGGCCACGGGACCGAGGCCCGAGAAGGGCCTAGGGCTGAAGTGGCTCAGGAGGTTGGGGGAGGGGCGCGACCTGGATGAGGTGATTTAAGCAAGGGAGTTGTGAGGCATAGTAGTGGATGTGAGAGAATTTGAGCCACTGCTCTGGAGATTGGGGTGGGACAGCAAGCCGGATCTTTTCGGGGTTTTTTGGGGAAAGTCAGCACCTCTTCCGATTGGTAAGTGGTGAACAGGAACTAGCGCCTTAAGCCTTCCAAGGGTGCCACCGTGGTTTCCATCTAGGGCCTTTTGCAGGATCCTGGCCATCGCTGGTGGTGAAGACGTGAGTGCATGTTCAGTTTTATGACAGAAGTGGGTAAATTTCTGGATTGATCAGATTTGTGCTCAAGAAATTTAAGGCAACAAAAAAGAGCTGGAAGAACTAACGTTAATATGAAGAAGTAATCACCGGCCGTGAGCGACTCCAGGACCATCATCTTTCCATGCCAATTGAATTGGACTATCGACACTTAACGCTAAAAGTTCTCTGGCGCTGCAGGTTTATGACAGAGTTCTTTCCAAAATATATCATAGAAGATTTAGAAATACTTGAAGAGGAAATCAGTTGCAGTTTTGAATATCTCCGAATATATTCTGCAAAGATATTCGCTAACTTGCTTCAGTAGTCCATAAGGAAGAGGGACAACTCATATTGGACGGAGTCCCGAAAATTCTGTTCCACTGTGTAAAAGGTTGGAGCTCTCATTGCAGACATGGCCTTCACATATTACAGTAGTCTGAATCGAGCTCAGCTAACCTTTGAATATCTGCACACAAATTCGTAAGTATCTTACAGGTGCTAATGAGATCACCAATAACTCAGGCCTTGATATTAATATGGCAATCCTTTCCCCAGAAAATTTTACTTTTTCATTCTTTGGGATATCACTGGATACCAGTCTTGAGCTCTGTACTGAAGAAATGAGATCAGTGAAATATTTGTTGCTAATCCAGAAGACTCTTATTTTAGTTATTGAATCAAAATTTCTCTAGATGCAACTTCAGTGACTCACAGTCAGCATATTATTTCCAATACTTAATAGGAGTACAGGAAGTTCTCTTCGAATGGGCAAAAGTTGGATTTAGCATCAACTGGTTCTCTTTAGTGAAAACAGCCTAGAGAGTTGGGTTTATGTCAGATGTTTCTAACAAGAAAAGAAGACAACAACATTTAAATAACGAGAAGAAAAAAACCCATACTTTCCAGTGAACAGTTGGCTTTATCTTTCTCGGAAATTGGTACTTATATCCAGTGTAGTTTGTGCAGGAAGTGACAAATTGTTTGAACTCTTGATTTAGATAAGTCTTTCCTTGAAATGTGCAATTCAAGAAATACAATGCTACCATCACTCCTATTTGGTCTGGAATATTTTAGGGTTAATTTTTACACCCACTCTGACATTATCCAGTGGGGTCTAAACTATGTAAGCGGTTTTTTTGGCGGGGGGGGGGGTATTTTTGAGACAAGGTCTCACTATGCAGTTCAGGCTGTCCTTGAGCTCACTTTGTAGCCCAGGCTGGTCTTGAACTCGCAAGGATCCTCCTGCCTCAGCCTCCCGAGTGCTTGGATTACAGGCGTGCACCACCACGCCCGGCCTTTACTTCAGTGTTTTAATACATTCATCTGTTACTTTTGAGATACAGGTAAGTATTCTACCGTTTTAGTACTTAGAGAATAGGTAATAGCTTAAAGAATAGGTAAATAGCTTAAGTGGTCCAGAGTTAGTTGAAAAACCAACCAGCTTCACAATTGAGAACATAGGATTACAGCACAGCCTTTTGTGGAAAAAATAGGTGTTAAGATTTCATAGTGGATGTAATTTTTTTATGTTTTTTCATTCAAATCACGAAATTCTGAGAGTGGCTGTTTCTTCGTTTTTTAGAAAGCTTTTTATTGAACCAAATGATTTCAGAGAAGGTACCATACATATAGGTTGACTAAGTGAATTTTTTTTTTTTTTGTCTTTTTGAGACAGAGTCCTGCTATGCAGTTCAGGCTGGCCTTGAGCTCACTTTGTAACCCAGGCTGGCCTCGAACTTGCAACCGACCCTCCTGCCTCAGCCTCCTGAGTGCTGGGATTACATGTGTGCGCCCCCACACCCCACATATTCTTACACTTATCGATAATTTATATGGAACATAAATGAGGTCACTTACCACAGGAGGTAGTACGGCCTTGGGCAGAACCCTTCAGTGTCCTTTTTAAATATTTTGTTGGTTGTGTTCAGGATGAGCATGAAGTAGTGAAGGCCACTTAGATCTTCATGGACTATTGTGTCCATGGCTGAGTTTTAAATTTTGGAATGACAGGGCAAATTTGGAATTGCAGATTTTATGATAACCTTGGAAGACCACAATCTAGATTTCAAAATTCTCACTTCATCAAAGGTTTACACAATAATAGGAACAATTACTGCTTCATGCCAGTTACTGGTTTAAGCTTTGTCTGAAGTAATCTTGAAAGCAAACCTATGGGTTAAGGATTATTCTTATTTTACATTTCAGGAAACCATGGCTTGAAGTGATTGCTAGTGAATTACACAGCTGCTGAATGGCAGCCAATATTTAAGAAAAAGGAGTCATTTGGTCACAGTGCTTAGCGCTTTAATCATAAGGCAGTGCTGACTCCCGTCAGTTTTACCTTCAAGGGCCTATTTATAAAGCAAGGGCTTCCCCCCATCTAATGGCAGCCAATATTTAAGAAAAAGGAGTCATTTGGTCACAGTGCTTAGCGCTTTAATCATATGGCAATGCTGACTCTCGTCAGTTTTACCTTCAAGGGCCTATTTTATTTATAAAGCAAGGGCTCCCCCTCATCTAAGGAATCTTCAATTTTAGTTTATCTCTGAGTCTCTACTTGGAGGATTATGGGATTATTCTCTTTCGTTCTCCTGTCGCTCTATTTTGTGGTTCATTAACAGTAAGTGATTTCTCTCATCTTCTCCTATTTTGTAGTTTATTGACAATAGGTGGACAGTACCAAGGCAAAGACGCAAACCTCAGTTAAGTCATTTGTTTTAAGGTGATGGAGAGTTTTCTGTGAATCTTGCTTACCCATATTAAATTGGAACCAGCTGTTCATTTGAGTTTAAAAGGATTGGCAGGTCATTTTTAAACCAACTTACCTACCTTTCTTTCATTTATTCTTTTTGGTCATTTTTAAACCAATCTACCTACCTTTCTTTCTGTTTTTTCTTCTTTGAGACAGTGTCTAACTGTATAATTCAGGCTGGCCTTGAACTAATGCCAGACCTTCTGCCTCATCCTCCTGAGTGCTGGGATTACAGTCATTCGCCACTACACCCGCTATTGGAAGCTCTGTAATTTCTTAATCTGAATCACAGCTTTAACCTTTGAAGTTCTGTTTTTGAATGTGTCTAGCCTTACCAGAAGAAAGTGTGAATGCTAGAACAACAAGATAAGTTTGAGTTTGTGACTAATTTCAAGAGACTTGACTAGAAGTTTATTTTAGAGGAAACATGTTTAAAATTCTCACGATATGACTCATAATGATAGAAGATTACCCTCCTCTGTTTAAGTGGATCACTAAGTCACCGTAAGAGAAGGGAAGATGGGTTTTGTAGTGCTTTCTCCTTTGTTTTGTTAAACACAAGACCACCCAAGGACATCTACAATATTGCCATATTGTGAATTATGAAAGAGATAGCACTCTGCTTATTGCCTGTTAAATGTAGACTTGCAAACAACCCAGGCTAGGAAGGTAGGTCATTGTAGTTTAGTAAAAAGATTGGGTCTGAAGGCCAACCAGACCTGGATTTGACTGCTTCCTGTCTGTGAGTAAATCAGTCTCTTGAGCCCTTAGTTTCTTCATTTATAAAATATGGTTAATCGGATAAGACAGTGTTTATGAAGATTATATCAAATAACATAAAGTTCTTAGCTTGTACATGGTACACAGAAAAATTGAGTAGATGGTAGTTACTCCTTTTATATTTATATAAACAAAAGTGGTAATTTGATTTTTGATGTTAGTAGGTGGATAAATTTTCCTGGTAAATTTTGGAGCATGTGTTAGAGACAGTAAATGTCTTGATTTTTTTTTTTTTTTTCTATATTACAGTTTGGGTAGTGATGACAGTTATTCTTTGGTAACATCAGTATTATGGTGATAGAGGCCTGAGAGATGTGACTTACTTTAATATTGGAAGTTGCTTTTACAAGATCATGCAAATCAGGGTTTTCATGTAAAAGTTTTATTCTGTTACTGGTATTAGGTGATTGATTTTGTGACTCACGTTCTTTTCATATAATCATGGCTTGGTTTGCTGTACTAAGTGATCTGGTAGAGCAGGATGCTTAAGTACAAGACAGTTTTTGTTCTTTATGTTTATTCCTTTTGATACTTTAAATATTTCATAATCTTGGCTTTATGATGGCCTGGGCTGTTTATCCATAGGTGAGGTGAATGAAGAGGAACCTGTCAAATTAGAGACTTCTGTTTTCTAGGATGTATAAATGTGTGGAAATATAAGTTCACATGCTAAATATATTAAAAGTGATTGGAATTTAAAATGGCTCCTCAAGGATTTCCCAGCTTGGCAGTTAACTATTGTCAGTGTATACAGGAACTGGGCAAAACTATCCCATATGTATGGTGGTTTTGTGAATAATTCATTGGTTTAAATTCAGGCTGAGCTGGGTGTGGTGGCACACACCTGTAATCTCAGTATGGATTATATCATGGTTGTAATTCCAGCACTTAGGAGGCTGAGGCAGGAGGATAGTTGTGAGTTTGAGGCCAGCCTGGGCCACAGAGTGAACTCAAGGCAAGCCTGAACTGCATAGTGAGACCCTATCTAAAAAAAAAAAAAAAAAAAAAAAATTCAGGCTGAATAACATGAAGACCGTTTTCCTTATACAATAAGCTAATTTACTCATGGATTTGTCGCTGGAAATGCTAAGCTGGAGAACTATTTCTACTATGGCCCAAATGAAAAGCTATGCTCAGTTGAAAATCAAAGAATTCGTTAAAAATTCGTTAAAAATCTCTAGTCTTGTTCCAGCTGGTTGGTCTTTTTTGGATCACATGCAAAGGATCTTTAGGTCTCCGAAGAAGAAAATAATTTCTTTTGATACTTACTCGTTATGTCTCAAATGCTAGGTAGTGATGAGTGTACCTTTTGAAATACTATTTGGGAAAAAGGGAATTTATGCACTCGCTATGTTTTGGATTCTAATTTTAAGTATTTAGAACTGACTTTGGCATGTGGAAGATCCATCATTAATCTGTTGGAGATCTAAGAAGATTCTAAGTATTGCCTCTTTTATGATATGAACGATCATCACAAAAACACCTTGCCTTTTTGAGATTGGCTATTGAATTCTAAATGTCTCATTTTCAAGCTGGGTGTGGTGCTGCACACCTGTAATCCCAGCTGGAAGGCTGAGGCCATAGGGTCAAAAATTTAGGCCCAACATGGACAATTTGGCAAGACCTTGTCTTACATGAACAAAAAAGAAAAGGTCTGGGGATATTCCTGGCTGCAAAGGCCTTTGGGATCAGTACCTAGTATTCTCCTCTGCCCAGTCTCATCTTTATGTAAAGCAATTAGAAATATGGATTACTGAGATACAGTTATTTATATTTTTGGTTTCTTTGTCCTAATGGCAGGGGGTGTCAGAATTATTCTCACTACCAAAGGCCAGGAACTGCATTCTTTAATTCCAAAGTTAGTGCATCTGATGCAAGTGATAGTCTTACTCTTTTTTTGTTTTGTTGGTTTTTTTTTGAGCTAAGGTCTCCCAATGTGGTTTAGACTGGCCTTGAGCTAACGGTGTAGTTTAGGCTGGCCTCAAACTTAACTCGTGATCCTCCTCTCTTTGCTGGGACTATAGGCATGTGCCACCATGCCCAGCAAGTTGATAGTCTATTCTTAATACGCTTGAGCTCTTTGTTTTTTCTAGGGGGTATATTTTTGAGATTAGTTGACTTTGTGTTAAGATGTAGATAGATTGATATTGAAATGAGAAGTATTGCAGTAGCATTAATTATATAGAAATCCTCAAAATAAGTTAGAATATAGAAAACCAATTCACTTTCTAAATCACTTGTAAGTCAGATAGAAAGATGACTATTTGGAAGCTTGAGAACAAATGTTAAGATTCATTTTTAATTTATGTTAT